CGTCGTTGTATACATTCTTTGTCTTTCCTTAAACTATGAGATTAAAATCGCTTCATATCTTTCTTTCTATGAACTAATTCTTTCCTCGCGTACTATGTCATTATACGCACTCAGTCTTTTACATATTACTACCACTGAATTAACTACTTCTATGAGTCCGGTGTTCATCTTGCTGTGCTGATTAGGTATGGCAACTTTAAACGATGCATATATGTGCCTGGTCTTACGTTGTAGCTGACTGACTGATTAGCATTTACGCTTTACCATTTCTGCACGTGTATCTCAATCGTGTAATTAGACGCTGTGCTTCTTTGAACATCTATCTTTATATCCATTGGATTGTCATATCACATACGTAATCCGAGTTGGAATAAATAACGAACAGTTTTGAATATATCTTTAGACAGCCAGTCATAATCAATGTAGAATCGAAGAATGTATATACGTTTATCTAAGTTCTCACATATTAACGTTTAATTGCAAAGGAATTAAAATAATATAGCAGCTACCATTCTAAGAAAGATTAAACAATCCGGATATTATTCGAAAATACAGGTGCACAATCTTTACTTTATAGCGCACGATAAGAAAAGGAATGAATCTGTGCCACAGTCAGTCAGTCACAATGTAGAACTTCGTACGTACGTACATCAGTTCGAGTTGCCACACCACATTAGCACAGAGATGCAGTTGTCAATTCAAATCCCCTAGTGCTAAAGTTAGTAAAAGTACAAGCAGTAATCGGAAACATTAGGGTTTGAAGATGTTATTCAAGGAGTATAATACAGTGAGATAAATTTGGAAAGAGAAAAGTGAAAGTAGCATGAAGAATTCAGAAGATTAGAATTTGGGAGAACATAAAGAGTGGATGCACCTGTGCGATTGCAAACGATGTTGAGCCATGTCATTCAGGATCTCTAGCCATCAGTTGCTAACATCTCGCGGTTCCCAACCAGGTAGTCTACACCCACCAATATGGGACTGTTCCACTGTGACTCATTATAACACATGTCACCACTCAACGTTTAACTTTATAATCTAATTACTGTAAAGGATTGAATTTTATCAAAAGAGAGTTACATAAATAAGTGATAATAACCTAACTCAGTTTTATTATTTTTTTATTCTTTAACTATCTGATTTCTTCATTCCAGCTATTTATACAATAAAGATAATCGGGATAGTGAATTTACTCAACAATTTGTACGTTTATGTAAATTATTACCTCAAATGACAAATGTCAAACCAACATCATCATCATCGTCATCTATGCAAACAATCGGTAATAAAACTGATATTCTAAATTTACTACGATTTTATAAACAAACTAATAAACAATGGTTACAACCAAAGAAATCCATCGAATTGAATACAAATTTACATGTTGGTCTACATGATTCATTAGTTCATTTAATTCATAATGATGATGATAATAATGATTATGCCGACATAACTAGTGCAACAACATTTAATGAAGCTATTTTCAAAGCATCTATTGAATGTTAAAATGCTGATACACTACCTAAGCATCGTCAACTTTATTGGATTGAATTATTTGAAAGAGTATGAGGAAGGCAGTAGAGGAAAATCGTTTTAATGGAGAAAATAAAGTTTAACTAAAATCATACATCTAAAGATACTACTTATTTACTTATTATCAAATGAACATACTATGATATTTACAAACATGTAAATAACATTTAATATTGTATTCTGTTTATCATAGTTCTTGTTTCTATAAAAAGATTATGAAAAGATTCATTCTCTTATTTGATGATGTTTCAATCATTTCACTAGCTAAGCGTACAATTACAATTGTGTTAAAACAATGAAGGCACAAGTAATTTATTACACTGAACTAAGTATTTTTCACTGGTAGTAAACAAGTCACTTGGTGATGGAAAAGATCTCCAGTATTAATGGATGTTTCACATATATAAATGTGATACGATGAAATTATCTTATGAATAAAAGAAAACTGGTTTGTAGAATTCTAAATGTAGCAGAATATTTTAGGGACTATCTGTGCTTTGTGTAGTAACCAAGGTCATAATATATATCTAGTTTTCAAGTAATGATCGATCAAGTTGAAATCTAGCCATTTGTCTTTACTGACTTATGCTGTGTGTACTGTGTTTCTGCGTATCGATTGCTTAGAGTTATCCGGTAAGTGTTGATTTGTAGGGCTGGCTTTTTTCTCATTGTTTGGATTGGTCAGCAAGACGTATGTATAATTTTAAGGGAACTGATGTCGACAAGAAGCTTAAAAATAATGATAATATGTGAAAGGAATCAGAAGCGCTTTTGATCAAAGTTGAGAAGGAATGATAAAAAGTAAGTCTCGCGATCCTTCATATACTGACCATATGAATATTTTACAAACGAAAACTGGCGAGAGTTTAGGGGCCCGTGCGTCTCGACTCCCATTTAGATCGTATGGATGTTTGCTATCGCCTATTCTCGTATATCATCGTCGACTTAAATCGCGTTATCCAATAACGGAATTAAATAAGTCGAATAACGAGAATTGATTTGTGAATACATGTATTTTGTATATGGAGTGAATGAAACAGAGCCAAGCAAAATGACGCACAGGGAGAATGGCGGGGAAGCCAACTCCATCTTTGTCAAGCGTTACTCAATATTTATAGTCAGACAAAATAAAGCTACAGACATGTGATTAATGGAATAAGAAGGGCACACACATATACGCTCATATAAAAACAGTCTAGATTGATAAGCGAATAAATAACGAGGTCAATGTATGGCTCAAGTAAAATGAATAGAATGGGATGTCCGGAAGCTAGAATAAGGTATATGGGCTTGGCATAATACCTGACACTACAAGTGAATAGCGACAGGTTCATAAAGTGGGAAAGTAGTGTTATAGTTAGGCTTGTAGAGGCAAATTTCCCCTAAATCTGACAGCAATTGCTAGTATCCCGTTAACTGAATATTTAGTGAAGGTAAATCTCCTAGTAGAATTATGGATTTACTCGAGATTATTCAAAAGCCTGAACACCAGTTATCGAAATAGTTTACTGTTAAAGATTGGTACACGGCGAGACTCTAATGTATGGAGGACCTCTGGACGAATCTGAAGTGACTTTGGGAAATATTATCCAATCAGCAAACAGTTAGTATAGAGTAAAAATATGTTATACAAAACCAAGGAAATAAAGTGGATACATTTCAAAACTTATCAAGGTTAGAAAGTGGTTCTAAAATCGTGATGCATGCAGTAGAGGAAATCATCCATACGGCTACAGAACAGTCGGCCTCTGGAGCCATGATAAAATCTCAAAACCTCTTTCAGCCTCAACCACATATTGTTTATGTGCACTTCGGTTGTTGAGTACACAAAATGCTACTTGTGGATAACGACACGATGCACATAACCAAGCCTATGTAGGAGTCTGTACGCTCTCCAAACATCCGGATATATTGTAGTACCTGGCTGCAGACAGTGTTACTGGTGCTTTTATTATCCAGTTCGCAATATTTGTCGTAATTCGCCGTAGTGAGGAATTATATATGTGGTTTTCATCACAAACTGACATCAGCTATAATGCCAGAAATTCATTTAGCCAAATGGAAGAAAGGCTTTTGCGTTAAAATCCTAGATCTATTATCTTATACCTGATTGATTCGTCCACAAATTATAGTCCCGCCGTTTTATTTGTTATAGCCGCTGAATTATCATGTTTTGTACAAAATACCCTGTGAACCGACCGTACGTTAGCACAAAGCACTAAAGTTTGCGCCGTAACCTTGAAATCTCTAACACGCATCTGATTGGCTCGTCTGTGAATTAGAGTCTCGCCACATACATATTTACTCAAATAAACTTAGTTTCCTACCTTCCGTCCTTCCTCCTAAGTAGTTGAGATCATATACAAAAGTGTGTCAGCATCAAACGGTGTAACAGTAGGCTTCACAACATGCACTAACTGCTTAAAAAGATATATGATACGAATAGGCTAAACAAACGGGTTTTCTAAGCTGTCCAGTCGCTGATCATTTTGGATGTAATGGTATCATTTCAAGAGAAACTGTGAGAAAATGACTTCAAATGTTGTTATACTTTGCTGAAACTAAATTTATTCATTCGATAAGATACTGTACGGTTGTCGATATTACTTTGATCTGGTTACCTCAGTTTTTACTACGCATGCTTTCAGTTATATTAACTTTTTCCCCGTGTTTCATTATTATCTGACCTCCATTTATCCAAACAGTCTATTTTCATTGTAGTTCATATTCCTCAATATAAACCTGTTCCCATGACATTCTGTTTTTTTCTTTAAAATTCATATAACTAATCTGTCAATACTCAACCATATAAACTATTTCATGTTCTCTGATATAAACTATATACAAATAACCGTTAAGCTACTAGTATTTGACCACAGATGCCTTAGAAATATTGCTCACATCTGCTGGGATCACCGGGTAAGTATCTTTCTTTCTACGAACAAACTCTTTCTTCCCGTACTATGTCATTATACGCACTCGTTCTCTTATATATTACCACTATTAACACTACCTCTAATTTCTGGCAAACCATTCGTTCAAATATCAACGGATATTTGTATAAATTGTCTAGATCCTTAATACAACTGGATACATCTATCTCCATTCAATAGCCAATTGATCTTCCTATTTCTTTTTATCTGACATATTTAAATCAACAAAACGAATAATTTCTGTTCTATGATTTATTTATAATTCGCAACCCGTAAATAATATCTACAAAATGTTCAAGTTTTACAAGTAGAGACCCGTTCTTAAACGGAGCCACAAGACACGTGAGAAACAATTAAAAATTGATAATTATTATTTATTATTATTATATTAAAGCGAAAAGATCTGTACAAACGAAATCAAATCATTGTGTATTTCTGAAGAAAGACATGAGGATGATGATGAAGAGGATTTAGATGGTGATGATGATGATTTAAAAGATGTTAATGATGATTTAGATGATGATGTTGATTAAGAAGATGATGATGATGATTTAGAAGACGATAATGATGATATAGATGATGATGATGATTTAGATGATGATGGTAATGGATTAGATGATGATTTAGAAGATGATATAGATGATGATGATGATTTAGGTGGTGATGATGATGATGATGATGTTGATTTAGGTGATGATGATGATTTAGATGATGTTGGTTTAGATGGTGATGATGATGATTTAGATGTTGATGATGATGGTTTAGATGTTGATGATGATAATGAGTTAGATGTTTGAGATGATGATGATCCATGCTACCACACTTAAGTGAGGAAATTAATTTATAAGATGAGTGAGAGAATGAAATAGAAATAATATCAACTAAGACATACAGCTGATCATGGAAAAATATACTTACCGTGAAACAAATTTATCCATTCGTCTACGGATGATAACAAGTGTAGCTACACATTTGTAGATGAGGATTAGACATGAAAAGGTCAACTATACAAGTGAATTGATGCGTTTACATTTACACAGGATGATGAAATACATTGAAGCCGAAGATAACTATTTCTCAGTGAGCTATAGAAGATATGCATCTCAACTCTAAAGCTTTTCAGTAACTGATCTTTAGAAACAAATCACGGTCTAAATTAAAACCTTTCCCATTACTTACTCGATAGCCACCAGTCCCCGAAACGTTGAAACCATGAGCTTCGTTGACATATGATTCATTTGACTGTTTGTTAGCCTTGGCAGCTTGAAATTCTCTTAGCTATTAAAAGGATGTATAGAAAAGAATGTGATGTATGGCGAAAAATCATTTCATAATATTAGTATATGTGTAGTTCATCTACCACGTAAAAGTGAGAAGATAATGTCAAGTTGAAATTATAAATGTTCGAGGTTCAGAATTAAAAACTACTAAACCGAAAATACCCGTCACGTTCAATTAGCAGAGTTTATGCTTTCCGCCCACGTTAACGTTGAAATTTAATACAATGTCATATATTAGAGTGAGAAAAGTCTGTGTCTAAACCACTTTTATTTTAAGAAAGAAAACAAAACGCAATATGGCTTTATTAGTACTATAAATAGAAAGCACTGTTCAGAGAAACGTGAGTTTCCGCTATGTACGACATGAGACCACTAAAAACAACGAATTACAAAGCTAGTTTAATTCCATTTAAATGATAGTAAGGCTTAGTGACACAACTGCAATTTTTTCCGACGTTTTGAACAGCCGTGTCGAAAGATGAGAGTTAAAGACCTAACTTCTGGCACCAGGTTTTTGAAACTACCACATAGAACGTCAAGTGCACTGTATAACGGTGGATCATATTGTAGAACGTCCTTCGTAATTGGGAAATGTGTAAAGTTGTTAGTGTTTGACCATAGACCGACGTATCTCACGTAAAGAAAAATAACTGAGTATATAACGATCTTAAAAGCAAATTATTATATTGAGCTGATAAACCGATAAACAGGGCCGCAAATACCTAACAATTGGAAAATGACAGATAGAACAAACCGTCCTCTCCAAAACCGGTAACTTTATGCATTATCTGATTTCAGCCACCACCTTATTACAATGTAATGTTGACTGACACAGATGATCACGAAAAAACCACAGGATAAGTATTTTAGCGGATTTATGATGACACTATACACTTTTTGATATTCCTTCGATGACTTGGTTACAAACACATTAGCGATCTATACCCGAACAATAAACACAAATACCTAGTATCGGAAGTGCCTGGACCCCCACATACCACAGAAAAACTGCTACTTAAATTTGAACAGATGATCTCACGAGTTTTTCTTAGACCGAACACGTACTCCAATTAAATATTTGCGTAGAGAAATCAAAATGTCAAAACCAACCAACAAAATAAAAGTATTCTGCAATAGTATGGTCATATGTCAGTGGACACACCTTTTTCTTAGCAGCCGCTATTTTCTCTGCTCTACTCAGTTCCGACATCTTACTTCTGCCAGTGTGACGTGTTAAATGAGCTTGGCTACCTTCCCTGACCTTGGCTGCTAGGCTACTTTCAAGATGTTTTTACAGCATATAAACACCATAAAAGAGCTACACTCAAACTGAGGTTGTACAACAGATTATGAGCTTATACATCTTACAAAATTACACAAAAAATAACAAGAAGACATCTTCTTTGTAACGATTAACAGATAGAGATGAGAACATTTTATTTATTATTTGTATATAGATGACATTAAATGACTCTTAAAAGAGAGTGTCTTTGTACACATTCAAGGTTGCATTTTAGTTTCAACTCGAGTATACCGAAGTTCGCAAACTTGAACTGTGTTTTTGTAAGCTTTGTTTGGTTGAAGTCATCATGTACTTACTCAACTGCTACATCCTAGTGGTCGATCTGAACAAGTGGTGATCAGTGAATGCAGAACTTGTGCATTCCTAATTACGCTCTGCTTGATTACAAAAGGGTACATAAGAGTACTCCACAAAATGGGAAAGAATATACGGTTAAGGAGGGAAAAAAATTGTGTAGAGTGTGAGGATCAAGTACAGTTGTGTCAAATACTCTTTTGTGGTTTGATTTAGGTATTCATGATATATTGAAGCAATATTTCATCAATTCATCCAAGCAACGAATTGGTCTGCACCTTAGAAGTGTGTAAGTTCTATTACTCATTAGTATTATGAATGACTAATCGGTGTAAGGAAATATTGAAGTCATTTCCTCGTGACCTGATGTGGTTTAATGGCTACCCACCTTCAATACGATGTTTGTTGCCCGTAATTCGCTGAGATATGAGAGAAAAATGACAAGAGGACAGATTGATGTGTCAAAGTGCCATATTGGAAAAGTACAAGTTCATTGTTTATATTAATAATGATGCTATAGAAAGAAATCTACAAGTTTGGTAAATTTCCATTTTACATTATACTTAAAACAACGATATATATAAGTTATTGACACAACATGTCTTTTTTATAACGCTAGTGTTAAGTTCCAGGATTTTGTATGGACCACTAATAATAATTGGTTTAACGTTAGCATAGCCGTGATAATATGCAGTGCGGCGTATCCTATTGGAGCTGGCTATAGGGAATCTGGTAAATAGATCTATGCATGTAAACAGATAATTAAAACCGTTTGAACGAGGTAAAGGGCCTACCAAGTCGATATTCACATGGGCAAAACGTGCATCTGGCTGCGAGAAAACACCTATGGGTGAATTTGTGTGACGATTAACATTTGATTGTTGGCATGCTGAACACTCTCTAACCCACTTGTGTACATCCTTCTGTAAATTCGGCCATATATATCTGGCATTGATTAGTTTTGTTGAAGATTTTGAGCCAGGATGAGACAAAGAATGAAAGTTATTATACATCAACTTTCGCATACTTTTGGGAACGAAAGGTCGCGGCATTGCCTCGGTCGTGTCACGGTAGATTAGAATACCATCGACAGGTGATGGGAACTGTTTTAAATTAAGACTTGAATTGTTTGTTTTAAGCAGGTTTTGTAATTCTAGACCCTGCTCTTGTTCGTTTCGCAACGTCTCGAAGCTTACTGTGGACTGCTGTAGCATCTGCCGCCTGATTGTCCTGACCTTTGACATGTCGGATATCGCTTGTGAACTGCGATATATAGTCAAGGTGTCGGACTTCTCGAGGTGAGTATTTATCAGCTCTCGCTCTTAGTGCATTCGTTAGTGGTTTGTTATCCGTAAAGACTATAAATCCCCTGCCTTCTAACATGTGTCGGAAGTGTTTAATGGTTAGGTAGATTGCAAGAAGTTCTCGCCCGAAGGTAGAATATATTGTCTCTGCTGGAGCGAGTCTTTTGAGAAGAAAGCAATTGTTTCCAGGCGTTTTTAACCAGTTGGTTAAGGGGACCACCAACTGCTTTATCTGAAGCATCCACCATCAACGTAAGTAAGGAAAGAGAATTCGGATACATCAACGTAGTTGCTTGAGCTAGTTTATCTTTAAGCTGTTTAATAGCTTCGACGGCGTTAGAGGACAGTTTGAATTCTTTTGGTTTTCCTTTGAGTGAATCTGTCAAAGGTTGCATTAATTGTGCACAACCTGGTATGAATCTGCGATAAAAGTTAATTAGACCTAGAAAACTTCTCAGTTGTGTTAGAGAATTAGGTATGGGGTATTGTTTGATGGTGTCTACTTCTTTGTTGATCGGTTTAATCCCTTCTGGGCTTATTGTGTGACCGAGAAATTCTAAAGTTTGAACACCGAAAACACACTTACTTTGATGTATGTTTATTCCATGTTCATTCAGTCTTTTCAACACTGCTCGTACATGCTGTTCGTGTGATTGTAAATCGGGACTGGCAATTAACGAATCGTCTATATACCCTTGAGCAAATGGCATATCTCGAAGTAGGTTATCTATGAATCTTTGAAATGTCTGTGCCGCATTTCTCAGGCCAAATGACATGCGTAAAAACTCGAATAAGCCAAAAGGTGTAGTAATAGCCCTGACTCAGTCAATTTTAGTGAATATGTTCATATCTTGTAAACCGTTTGTAAAATGTTGGATATGCGGTATTGGGTACCTATCTGGTACACCTTGACGGTTGAGGGCTCTGTAATCCCCGCACGGTCGCCAGTCGCTTTCATTTTTCTTTGGGACCATATGCAAAGGCGATGCCCATTGACTATCAGAGGGACGGATAATACCGAGTTGTAGCATATAATCAAACTCGGCTCTGGCGATTTTGAGCTTATTTGGTGCTAGTCTCCTGGGTTTTGCAAACACCGATGCACCTTTGGTTTTGATATTATGACTTACTTTTAGTTTGTCTTTGGAAGGCTGTGGGTTTGGTTTAGTTATGTTTGGAAATTCCGCGAGTATATCTTGGAATTTCGCTGTTGTTACTGGAGGAGTTTGAATCAAGTTAAGAGAGCTGATGTGACTTTCTTTACCTTTTGTGTAATTCGAAGTTTCTGTCAGTGTTAAGCGCCGTTTTTTAGTGTCAACTAGAAATTCGTATCTCTCTAGAAAGTCCATCCCCAGTATTGCCAGATCTAAGTCGGCTACTGTGAAAACCCAAGGAAATTGCCTCCTGAACCCCAAATCTAGGGTTAAAGTTTTCTGCCCAAATGTCGCGATTTTAGATTTATTTGCAGCTTGGAGTGTAATTGGGGATGTTTCTGGACTCAGACTAGCTTTGTTTTGAGGGATGATACTTAGAGCGGCGCCAGTATCCACCAAGAAATTCAAGCCAGAGTTTCTGTCTCACATAAAACAGGCGACTGTTTAGGCGCACCTCCTCAG